ACATATCCTAATGACAATGACAAATTAATAATAGTCAGAAGAGGATCTATGACTTCTGGAAGCACCTCTTTTAGGAGCTTAGATGGAATAGGGTCTAACATACATGTTGTTGGTTTAGATGATTTAACAAGCTTATACAACTCTTCCTCTCCTATAGTAGAGAATGGGTGGAATTGTTCCTCAGGGAATCTATAGCACACTATCTGATGTGATACTGTAGCTGACGGCTGCACGGTTACAATTTTAAAATGGGGGCAAAAACAAAAGTGTTACGTTTATAACTTTGTTCAGTGTATATTTGTCCCCTTTAAGGAACAATTAGTATAATGGGGCCACGATTTAACTACAACGGAATAAATTCTTAATTCTTAATTTAATTTCTGTGATGGTTCCTTTTTTTCCCAGCAGGCAATGAATAGTGTTGTGAAACCATGAAAAACTGGTAAATAAAGACTGAGAGGGCAAACCTATTCAGAAATTACATTTTCAAGAAATTTAAAACATTCTTACAGGCTATTTGCCTCTTGTTCTGCGAGATCTTTGTGAGGCGTGTTTTCCTGAAAATCTGAATGTGTTTCTTCATATTCGCCCACAGTTTTGACCTATGCTTTTTAACTGATTTATTGTGTTTTTATTGTCAAACTCCAAAATTACTTTCTTTTTAATTACTAAAAATGGAAATTATTTTATATGAAAAAGTTAATATTATCTTTTATTGACAAAATATTTTAGTTTGTGTTTGATTATACAAGATAACAATTTGAATTGGAAATGAAACGTTAATGTTTTTGGCACAATCAGAGGGATTGTTTTTCTCAATTCTCTCTAGCCAGCATTTCAACAACAGTGTATAAAAATGAATTTGTTTGTCCTTTGCACTGTAAAACTAATTTTTAATTCATTATTTGCACAAATAATTCACAATGTACAAATTATGTAATTTTAAAGTTATCACATTAAAATCATTAAATAGAATCAATACTTAAATAAAAAGAACATGGAAATCAAGTCATATTTAATCAGTTTATTTGTTTCCCCACAAAGATAATTCCACTCTCCGCTTTGAGAAGGCTGTGGGACATGAGCAGGTAAAAGTCCATCTTTTATGACACAAGTTCATTTTTTCCCAGTGTTCCAAAGCAACTGACACTGTTTGTAAATGGTTAGAAAAATTAATTATATCTTCTGCACATGCGTTTGCTGCATCCCATTCATACTTACACTAAATAGTATTCAAAATTAGAATTGGTGTGTCCCAAATATGTTGAAATGAGTATCCCAAAGGTACCCAGATGGTCTACTATCTCCAGTAAAAAAATTTAAGTTGGAGCCCTGCACATTACATGCAGAAAACAACAACAACAATAGGAAGCATCACAGAATTTGTAATAGTTTTACTGGTTATAAATGGAATTTTATGTATTATTTGTATTATGTATGTATTATGTATTATTGTATTATTTTATGGAAACTGTCATCCCTGTGGGACTCTACTGGTAATTTGTCGCCTTGTATAGGTGGATACACCTATAGTTAGTTAGATAGTTTATTTAATTTAATTAATTAATTTAATTTCAGGGATGGTTTCTTTTTTCCCAGCAGGGAACTTGTTAATATGTGGACACCTTTCATTAATTTGTCCCCTTTAAGGAACAATTAATATAATGGGGCCACGATTTAACTAAAATTGAATAAATTCTTAATTTAATTTCTGTGATGGTTCCTTTTTTTCCCAGCAGGGAACTTGTTAATATGTGGACACGTTTCATTAATTTGTCCCCTTTAAGGAACAACTAGTATAATGGGGCCACAATTTAACTAAAATGGAATAAATTCTTCATTTGTGACAATGTATTTTATATGTTTATATTTGACATGTTTGTTATAAAATTGTTGAATAGAGTGGAAATCCATTTACTTGATGTTAACTTCATTGTCTGCTTCATTTCCACTTTAAACTTCCTTTCTTTTGTGATAAATAAAGAAAGCATACACTGTAAAAATGAAACAAGATCACAATTCTCAATCCATGGCCACAGTGAGTTTCATTTTCCACCTGCATGTCATGTCCAGGCCTCCGTACAAATAAACCTCTGCCTTTGCCTAACAAGCACAAACTGTTAATATTGAATGTGAATGGCAGGACAATGTCACAGGTTTTAGTACTGCAAGATTGGTGATGTTGCTACAAAAGCTAACAGGATTTTTTTTTTTTAAATGGTTACATTTGTCCTGATTTATTATGGAATCGTTTATTAGAGTGAAAATGTATTTACTAAATGTTAACTTGACTGACTGCTTCAGTTCCACTTTAAGTTGTCAAATGGTCATGTTAACATGAGCCACACCTATGGAATATTTTACTTCCGTTCTTTCAGGGTAAAGTGTTATTTAGTGCCCCGCTCCCCTATTTTAAGGTAAGATTTTTAATCTGTAAAAAATACAAAATAATTATTATTCTTGTTCATGATTAATATATTCCATGACCGCAGGCCTCAGATAATTAGAAAATAGATCTTCATAGACCATTTTAAAAAAGGTTCATACAGGAACCTTAAAAGTAGGCCAGGCTCTAATATGAACCCCCTTTACCACAACAGAACCAGAACCACTTTAATGCTGATCCTTCTTGATTGGCTCAAAAAGTTTTTTGTTTTTTTTACTTCAAATGTAAAAATTTTTAACATGGTCTTCAAAAGCACTAAATCTTATTATTTATTCCAAACTTCGAATATAGCCACTTGGAACCTGGCCACCGACAAATGATTTTGTTTGATCATGGTGTTGATATTTAGAGATTTTTATGGTACAAATTTAGATACTTACTGATAGAAAGGTTCTTTGCAAAATAAAAATATATTTGCATGATGAAGATCGATAGTATGTCTAAGGCTAGTTTCAAGATAAAGGAAAATTTATTATAGACCAGAATGAAACTGAACATTGTTAATATCAAAACTGTAAGATTTATTAAAATCTCTTTTGGGATGCTTGAGTACTACCATCCTTTAAGTATAAAGGATAGAGAAGACACTATTTCAGAAAATGAGTCCATAGTAAACTGGTAAAAAAAAAAAAAAAAAACTGTTTTCTATATGCATCCTAATGATCTTACTGTGAACAATTCTTTCATGTTTTAATGCTTTAATAAACTTAAATATACGGCAAGCTCTCAATCAGATCTGCCCCCATCCAGTCAACAACTAATGGATAGAATAAAGTCTGCACTCTACATTTTTTCTTTTGATAGTCCATTTTATAGCTAGCTGTTTTTATTGTTGACGTTTTATTCAATTTTTATAGAATCTATTTAAAATAATAAAAAAAAAAAAAAAAAAAAGGCAAGGTGTCAAACAAACATTGTCAACATTTGATCATTTATATAGTACTACTTTACCTAATATACTATGTCTAAAATCCAGTTAATGAAATCCATAAAACCTTTCTAAATATTATGTCACTTCATTATCATATGGCAAATACAGATATTACTAAAGAAAAATAAAATAAAATCTAAACTTTACTAATGCACGGTTTGATCTTAGTAATTTATGTTTAAATTTACCCTCTAGTGCAGATCCCTGATCAAGCCAAATCCAAACATGTATGTAAATACAAACATATTATAATGTGTAAAGTAACTAAGTCTCAGATCAGTGCAGAAGAAGAATATATACTCCATATAGGCCAGGCAATTGAACACTATTTTTGAGGCAGCCATATAATTCAGAGATTTATAAAAAAAAAAAAAAGAAGATTATCAGGAAATCTCTACGTCAGTCCAATAGGAAGGCAGGTCTCTGGTAATCAAACAGACTGAAGTCTCCCTGGTAGCTAGCGTAGAGCCGACGGACATCTCGTTGGCTGATTCCAGTGAAATAGCGTTCCACCTTGGTTCGGTTGTAGCGGGTTATCCCTGGTGGGATATTTGGGTATGACACTAGGTCAGCGATACCAGCAGCTTTTAGAATATAAGGAACATCACGCTCCAGAGTCTCATGGTGACCCACAACATTGTAGGAAATATCACAAGGAGCACACAGCTCAGCATATGTCAGCCAGTGAATAATGTGGTCACCAAACTGCCTGTCCAAGCGCTGTCGGCCTGATTTGTCACCCAAGTACCGTACAAAGTCTTCAAACTGAAGACCCACACTTTCACTATCATCATGGTGACTCCTGCGATATTTGCGAATGATGGCTGGGGCAATGTCATGCTTGTACCAAGGTTCAAATCTTGGGTTCTTCACAAACTTGTCCTTGAAAGCAGATATTAGACGCTCAAATGGGTCTCTCACAATAAAGAACTTGAAATAAGAATTTAACCTGTGAACCAAACAATAACAGAAAGTCAGAATAAGAGTATAATATCAGACATGTAACAAATTCAACAATTTTACCTGCCATTAGTCCTGAAAATCTTAAATGAGAAAGTATGTACTAAGACCATGTCTTAATACTTATCCTGATACTTATAATGATAAATTAGTATTACAATGATGAAAACAGAAATAAAAAAACATGTATCTTGAAAACAAATATTACAATTATGTTCTGAGAGAAGGAAAATATTATTTGCATTAATTTACCTTGGTTGTAATGTTTCAGAGCAGTTTTCCTACTTGTAAACATTGTCAAATATTTATAAACCATTTTTAAAACCCATGCCAAAGGTCCTCTTTTCATATTTATCCTGCTGAGTTCAACAAGGTTGAACCGGAAACACTTCCCATAACACCCGATGTACTTGTTACATAGTTAGAAGAATGGCATCTACACTAAGAGAGTTGGACTCGTAACCCAAAGGTTGCGGGTTCGAGTCTCGTACCGGCAGGGATTGTAGGTGGGGGGAGTGAATGTACAGCGCTCTCTTCCACCTTCAATACCACGACTGAGGTGTCCTTGAGCAAGGCACCGAACCCCCAACTGCTCCCCGGGCGCCGCAGCAAAAATGGCTCCGGGTGTGTGTTCACTGCTGTGTGTGTGCACTTTGGATGGGATAAATGCAGAGCACTAATTCCGAGTATGGGTAACCATACTTGGCCACATGTCACGTCACTTTCACGTCACTTTCACTTATTCCGAGGTCACCATAGCCACCCAGATCCAGACTGTTTCCAGATCAGATAGTCACTGCAGTCACCCGGATCTAGTCCGTATCTAGACCAGATACGGCATCCTGCAGCACCCAGAGATGACCTCGACAGCCCTGAATGTCAGCGGAGACCATGTCAACTATATGAGCCCTAGAGACAAATCCCCTCCAAAGACCTCGTCACCTAGACAGCCATCGGGACAAGACCACGGGAACCAGATGAGTCCTCTGCACAATCTGACTTTGTTGCAGCCTGTCTTCTTGTGAAATACACTCTGGGTTGGCATTTATTATTTTTGGTGGTTATTTTTTGTACCTGCATTCCTTCAACCCCACTATTAAGAGGTAAAAAGAACAAACTTTATTTGTGTAGCCTGCCTTATTTAGGCTGAGCGTTACATATTGGTGGCCCGTATGGGGAGCCTCTTTTGTTGTGTTTGTTTGGTTTTGGGATAATTATCATTATGGATGTGACAAATGCTGATCCGGTTACTGATGTTAATACTGTGAACACCGTGAATACCGATAATCCAAGTACACCTGTAAATGACCAAGAGATTCTTGAACAACCAGATGTGGATTTTACAGCAGGCCCATTTGTAACCAGGCGCAATCCTACTGCTGAAATAACATCTATGATAAGCTCATTATACATTTCTGACTCTGATCAATCGATGATGATAATGATGATGATGAAGGGAGCAATATTTTAAGTGGTGAAATAGTACAGACAATGCAGGCAGACATGGCACAAGTAAAGGTGGATTTATTGGCCCTCAATAAAAGAGTACAAAATATAGAACATGATTTTAAACAGTCAATAGACAGTACAGTAAACCGGGAGACCAGTTTCAGGCAGGCCGTGGACGCTAGCTTGGCTGGGTTGGAGGACTATTTCCTAAAATCACTGGAAAAATTAGAAAGGGCTGTAACTGATTGTTTTCTGAGGAGAGATGCGAAATTGGAAAGTCAAATTAAAAAACTAAGACTCACCAGTACACCCACACTCTCCAGATTACAGACCTACTCACCACCTTCCTCCCACATTTCTCCAGCCTATTGTCCACAGACCCCCATGCCGGTTAATGCTAAACAGAAAGGTCCAACTCATGCAGCTCAAAATACTACTTACGAGGTAAATCCTTCTGTGCATACTCACTCACATAATGTGCTTTCCTCCTCAGTGGCTGGCTCATCCTCATTTTGTGCTCGTCCTCCCATCTGCCTAGAGTTCCCCTCTTTCGGCGACTCCTGCGAGACTGCAGAAGTGCTCAACTTCATCGAGCAGTGCGAGAACTTCCTGGAGATCAGGCCTCTCCCCAGCGTTGAGCTCATCGGTACTCTGAGTACAGTCTTGAAGGGACCCGCTCTGAGCTGGTGGAAAGCAGAGAAGGCCAAGGTAAAAGATTGGCAGTCCTTCAAAAAGGCATTCATGGCGGCTTTTCTTTCAGACGATTACCTCTCTGAGGTGGAGGAGAAGCTGAGGACGTTGGTCCAGCAGCCGCGACAACGCCGGAGGGACTTTGCCTATGATTACCGGGCTCTCTGTCTGAAATGGAAGCCAGAGATCTCTGAGGAGGAGCAGGTCAACCGCATCCTAAACAACATCAACCCGAGGGTTGCAGGATGCCTACGGGGGACAGTGAACACCGTGGAGCAGCTGGTGAAGGTTGGTTCAATGGTGGAAAGGGATTGCATGGGAGCGAAGGACTACTGGCAAAAAGTTGGTACCCAAGGTGGCAAGGAGAAAACGAAGTAGCTTGCAGGGCGTACAAACAGCAAAAACCTGGCTGGACTGACCCTGGCACAACCCCATCCTGTCACATCTCTCCTCGTCGTTCCTGTAAGGGTGAATGGACAGGAGGTGAAGGCGGTCTTAGACACGGGAAGCACTTACACCTTGATGCAGGAGAGCCTGTGGAAACAGCTGAAGACTGAAAGTCCACCAGTCATTACCTCTGCCCCTCAGAGATTCATAATGGCAGATGGAACGATTCACCAATCCAGAGACCTGCAAAAGTTTCTGTATCACTGGCATGATCAAGAGTGCTTGCTGGATACATATATCCTGAAAGACAATCACCTTGCCTTTCCCCTTATTGCTGGGTTGGACTTCCTGAATGCCACTGGAGCTGTGTTGGAAGTGTGACAAAGCAGATATGGCTTAAGATCTGGAAAAGACTACACATATTACCCTTTCCTGCCATCACAGGTTCAAGTAAGTCTGTCTACACCCTCGGGACAAGCTCATTCCCTCACAGCTGCTAAGTTGAATTTATACTACGCCTTACCAACAACTGGCAGACTTCCTGAACTCATGTCCTTCACCCCAGAGATTACACAATGGAACTCTGACAATCAGGAAGAGTTGAGGCAGTTGATTTCCACCTGGCCACGCACCACTTCAAACATCCTGGGTAAAACATCAGTAGTACAACACAAGA